GTTTCTAATATAATATTGTTGAGCACAAGCTCTGGATTGTGTCACGTGTTCAACAAGGGGACCTACTCGTTTAGCAATCTTCTGTGAGGTATTTATACAGGTTTCGTTTCGCTTGTCGCTAAGTCTTGTGCAATTAGCCAATTGGAGAGCTTCGTCGTATGAGTGGCAAGGAAAGATAATGCGCATGGCACGCTTTTGTACTCTTTCCAGTTCGTCAGACAGATAGCGAGGTATCGCGTAATTCCATACTTCACAACAGTATTCCAGAATAGAACGAATAAGCGCGAAGTATATGTTGGTAAGATCAGCAGGAGGGACACCACCGCGGCATAATACCCGAAGACCGTATAACCGTTTGGAGGCCTTGGTGATGATTGATCGAATTTGCTCGTCCCATTTAAGATTGTTTTGAATAATTAAACCCAACACTTTGTGCGATTGTACCGTTTCTACTACGTGACGAACAATTGTCAAAGATGGTAGCTGCGGAGTTTCTTTAAGAAAGGAAACCCGGAGCTCTTTGCACTTTTTGGCATTCAATTTCATACAATTGTAAGTTGCCCATGAATCGATAGAATCAAGAGTTGACTGAGTGACCGAGAAGCTGTTCGATGTAAGATTTTCAGAAGATGAGACATCGTCTACAAATTTCCACATTTTTGTGCCTGGGGAATTTACTCTTAAATCATTAAATCATTAATCTATTCTATTCTATAGTTAACCATATCATTTCTTTTAATATACTACCGTATATGTAGACGTTCATATCTACGTGGCATATCAATCACTATTATGCTAATTAAAGGAACTATTTCAACTACAACAGGAATACGTTATTACTATGCAGACCATTTTTATAGACATAGGCTTACAGGAAGGAAAGAATTTGGGGGGGGGGGGGCAGAAAGAAATTTGCCCGACTTTTTCGACCTAAATTTTTCGGAACATCAAACAAATTTTCCCCAAAATCGAAAAATTTATATATTTTCCCAAAAAATTGACAGAATTGTCCCATTTATTTTTATAATAACCAAATATTCCCCGACTGAGAAGCGAATATTGCCCAACTGGCTTTGTTTGCCCAACAAACTGGTGTTATTATTAAGCGATATTTTCTTGTTTTGACGACTTTTTGCCCGACTTTTGCCCGACTTTTGTTGAACGTTTGGCCGACTTTTCGACTTTGTAATCTGTTTGGGGGGGGGCAGCTGCCCCCCCTGCCCCCCGTCCCGTACGCCTATGTTTATAGAACCTACAACTGAACGGAACATCATATATTTGCTGTTTTGTATCAGTAGTTTACTCCGAGTCCATTTCACAATAATCCCATTCCTTATCTTTATCGTAGTGTACTGTAGTAGCGCACCATAATCTATTTTCGTTTTCTGTTGTACATGATGGATACCATTCCTAACGATAATAGAATGGGAAAACACAACAATCCCCCGATATAGTTTTCACTGTACAGCTGTTTCCTGGAAAAGAACGATTGTCCTAATAGCAGAAATGTATGTAAAACCAATCTAAACAGCTGGGATGGGGGGGGGGGGGACAGGAGTAGCGCTTGCCATATAAAATATTTATGTGCTTTAAATGTGGTATATCTGGTAAAAAATATTACGCAAAAAAAGTTAGAAGAGATGTTTAATTTTTTTTTTTTTTTTTTTTATTTCGATATGACAAAAAGAAAAATTAAATTACAAAACGTACAAATACCACACATAAATACTTTAAAGTGTCAGGAACCAACAACAGGGTTAAAAACCCCAATAACAGTGGCCCATTATAAAATATAAATAA